GTTAATCTCCTCCAGTGCCTCTGCCTAAACTGTATGTGTCTCGGACGAGCCCACTGGTTTGTAAGCCCTGCTCCATTGTTGGCGAATAAACTGCCGCTCCAATCCCATTGTCGAAGCCGTTTCCATCAGTAAAGAGCTGCATTGTCGTATCTCCAATTGAGGATATCCCAATAGCCTTGATAGCATCCTCACGCCGAATGTTGTATTCTATGATATTGTTCTAGTATGGCCATTGGCCACGAAAATGATGCTAAAGTAGAGATGGACAATGCGATCTAGATTCCTGTTGATTTACAAATGTTTCTTCGACCATTCGCATGGGAGCATGGGGGTGCAGATCCTGTAGTTAAGGGAAAGTTTGCGAAGGACATAGTGGATACTATATATTGAGAGCACAGTTGAATTGCCTTATGAAGAATCAGATTATGAATCGAGCCAAAGTAGTGGCGCCGTTACTTTTATTCTTGATTAAGTCTATGCTAAAACTTTAAATATTTGAACTATGGCTCTATGACTCAGAAACGCATAGTCGTCAGCGTCTATCTCCGTCTGCCGATCTATATTGGCTGAGAAGATGACTTTCCAAGTCCGTAGATAGCAAGGAGCACTCTTGTTCAGGATTTTGAGTGGTGGCGTGGAGGCATGCCTTAATCTTTTCACAACCATGCAATAGGCCGGTATCATCCATAATTTGTTTACTGCACTCGTTGAACCTCTTTATAAGATCCTGAATGTTTACATTCTTTAGCTTGTGCCCATCAAGCACTAGGCACAAGTGTAAACCAGCAAGTTGTAGATTAAACGAACGTCTCAGCAGTTTGCCAATAAACATGAGTGGATGTGGATGATCGTCAAATATGGTCTTTATGTCCTTGACGATGGAAATATCTGGATTGGCCCACGAGGCGATATAACGCGCCTTAAGTGTACTTTGCAAGCAAATGAGTACTCGGCGAAATCTAGCAAAGACATGCGGCTCCATTAAGCCTTTCAATTCTTCACCGCCGTATTGCACAGCCACAAAATCTTTTGATGGCCATTCGTAACCTCCTTCCCATCTTTCATCTTCAAACGGGTTGTGACGAAATCCAATATCAGGATAATTGTCTGGATGCAGGTGTAAGATCAAAAGTGTCTCACCGTATAGTATTTCTGTAGCTTCACCATAAATTAATCTACTCGACTGGAGGATACCCGGATACCGAGACATTTTCGACTTGGGAGTGCCTACATGAATTATTTCCTTCACAGAAAAAAGCTCTCTGTAAATGAGTAGACGTAGTTCTGTGATGCGTGTCAACACAATCAAACAGGTAAGACGACAGGGCCTTACCAGCGGGAATTGTTTCAAATTTCATCTCTTGCGACATCTTTGCTATGCATCACTGATCATAGATGATCTGAAGATCAGTATTTACTGCACATATACATATACTGAAAAGGGGGAGAATTGTTAACAATCTAGCACACGTAATGATTTGTGATAATGACCTGCTTTGTTCCATGGTATGTAATAAGAGTGGCAGTGATTACAATAAAAGTGTGACGTGGTTACAGTAGTTTGCACCTTCAGAGTAACAACTGACACTCTCTTCTCTTTCCTCTGAAACAGTGCCAAGAAGACGCTATTATAAATATAGAATAGTGTAGGAATAATGTTAATGCGGAGATAATACAGTATCTGTCGATACAGACTTTTATTTACAATACATGAATGGCGGTAAAATACAATAGTCTGAACACGTGTTCTAAAACTGCCTGGTAAAGTTAGTAGAGCAAGCCTAACACTTCTGTCTCCTGTTGACCAGCAACGGGTTCTTGGACTGAAATCCCGACTCCCAGCCTCTCAACGCTTTCTATGAACATCCCTAGCAAATCACAATGAAACTGATAGATTTACCTACTGAATTATTACAACTCCTGACAGAATTCCTCGAAACAGAAAAGGATATAAGCGCATTATCTCGGACCAGCCGACATTGTTATTCCGTGTTTATTCCATGTCTTTATCGGTATGACCGTCAAAATAAAAATAGCTTCGCACTACTATGGGCTGCTAAATACGGGAATGAGAGTACTGCTCGGATTAGCATCCAATACGGGGCTAATCCAGATCCAAAGGATGATCATAGCTCAACACCACTATCATACGCGGCATCAGAAGGGCATGAGGCAATAGTAAAGCTACTTCTCAACATGGATGGGGTCAATCTAGATTCAAAGGATAATGATGGCCGGACACCACTATCAGAGGCTGCACAAAAAGGACATGAGGCAATAGTGAAGCTACTTCTCAACACGGATACAGTCGATCCAGATTCAAAAGATAATCGTGGCCGGACACCACTATCATACGCGGCATCAGAAGGGCATGAGGCAATAGTAAAGCTACTTCTCAATATGGATGGGGTCAATCTAGATTCAAAGGATAATGATGGCCGGACACCACTATCAAGAGCTGCATCAAGAGGGCATGAGGCAATAGTAAAGCTACTTCTCAACATGGATGGAGTCAATCCAGATTCAAAGGATAGAGATAGCCGGACACCACTATTTTATGCTGCATTAAGAGGGCATGAGGCAATAGTCAACATACTTCTCAATGTGGATGGAGTCGATCCTAATTCAAAGGATTATTCTCACCAGACACCACTATTTTATGCTGCATCAAAAGGGCATGAGGCAGTAGTGAAGCTGCTTCTCAATATGCATAGAATCGATCCAGATTCACAGGATAATTCTCGCCAGACATCACTATCAGAGGCTGCACAAAAAGGACATGAGGCAATAGTGAAGCTACTTCTCAACACGGATACAGTCGATCCAGATTCAAAAGATAATTATGGCCGGACACCACTAGTTTATGCTGCATCAAGTGGGCGTGAGGCAATAGTAAAGCTACTTCTCAATATGGATGGTGTCAATCCAGATTCAAAGGATAGAGATGGCTGGACACCACTATTTTATGCTGCATCAGAAGGGCATAAGACAATAGTGAAGCTACTTCTCAACATGGATGGGGTCGATCCAAATTCAAGAACTGATAATGGCCTGACACCACTGTCAATGGCTGCATATAAAGGGCATGAGGCAGTAGTGAAGCTACTTCTCAACATAGATACAGTCGATCCAGATTTAAAGGATAATAATGGCTGGACACCACTTTCAAGAGCTGCATCAAGAGGGCATAAGGCAATAGTAAAGCTACTTCTCAATACAGATAGGGTCGATCCAGATTCAAAGGATAATAATGGCTGGACACCACTATTTTATGCTGCATCAAAAGGGCATGAGGCAATAGTGAAGCTGCTTCTCAACACAGATGGAGTTGATCCAGATCCAAAGGATGATGGCTCGACACCACTATTTTATGCTGCATCAAAAGGGCATGAGGCAATAGTGAAACTACTTCTCAACACGGATGGAGTTGATCCAGATTTAAAGAATAATGATGGCCGGACACCACTGTCAATAGCTGCATATAAAGGGCATGAGGCAACAGTGAAGCTACTTCTCAACACAGGCAGAGTTGATCAAGATCTAAAGGATAATGATGGCCAGACACCACTATCAAGAGCTGCATCAGAGGGGCATGAGGCAATAGTTAAGTTACTTCTCAACACGGATGGAGTCGATCCAGATCCAAAGGATTATTCTTGCTAGACACCATTCTCATTCATTTGAATGGACTTAATAAGCGCAAAGTGGAGCGATGTCTTTAATTGTGCTTGAATGGCATTAACCAGCTTCAGCAATCTGAGACGAATTGAGTTGATTACTCACAATTATACCGTAAACTAACTACCCTTGAATTAATTATACAAAATGTTGAGCCGTTTTTATTTAACATTAGTTGTCGATTAAGATCCAGGAGAATCTATTGTAAAGTAACGCTATACCTTAGTAACAACATATATATTACGAAAACTAAAATGTCAGATATGGGCGAGAAAGCCGAAGTAAATGGCAGATTCTTCGTGTTTATAGTTACTCCAATCACTGCTGACATCTCGGGTCAATATTGGACCGGCCACCTATGGAAAAACACGCATATACTATGGAGTAGGTAAAATAAATTTGCGCACTACCCAAGCCTACGAGTAGGTAGTGATACATGTAATTTACGGGCGTATCAAATCTACGAATGCGCAATACGCCACGGAGAAAGTTACACGAGCGAGGGTTATTCCGGATCTAGCTGTATGTAGACTAGGAAACTCCTAGCACTGTTTCAGAAGAAAGAGAAGAGAGTGTTAGCTGTTACTCTGAAGGTGCAAACTACTGTAACATTTTTGGATTACTCTTGTATATACGCTCCGTAAGATTCATGGAACCCCTATCCAAGGTCAAAACTTGCCCCCAGTGCATATGCCATTGTCAGGTGGCCTTATATAACCTGTTTAGCGGTACCAAGTGGCACTATCCACCATATACTTAGTATGGATTATTCTCGATACGAGGAGAAAAGTTGGAATTGTGAAAGAATCAGCGCTTCCGACGCTTTTTGCTCTATCGGCAGAGGATAGATTAATCGTGCAAAACCGACTGAATAACGGAATAGTAATAATAATAAGGACATAGTTGAGGGTGTTGGGGATAGTTTGAAGGTACATTTGGTCCGGTTAGAGCTTGGTATCGGAAGATAAAGTTCAGTAGTTATCCGCTATCATAGTTATGTTCAAGAAAGTATCCAATTGATACTGTATACTGGATATACTAAAACTTGAGAGTGAATCGTCATAATACATAACATAATTTCCAGGGAGAACCCATTTCTCTGAGTCATGAAATATTCCATACTACATAGTAAGTAAAGCCTGAAACAGGGGTTTCGGAATAATTTTTGAATATAGTTTAGCGCCTATTAGCTGCAGGGCTTGAGAAACAATTGAAGTGAATAAAAGCGCGCACCGGTTTTGCATCCAGCTTTATTACAGCCGATTGTCTGGGGCTGAAGCAATTATACATGTACCGCGGTCTTTGGCTCTTGAGTAAGGACAATGGTTCTTATCAATCTATTGTCACTTACAGCTATAGCTGTTGCCATCATTATTCGGTTACTTCCACATTATACGCAGCTTTACAGGTCCGTTGGATATGAGCCCTTAATTGTCGAGGAAATACGTGATACCAGTTTGTTGTCTGAATATCATTACATGGGGGCGCCGTCATCATATTGTGCGGATCGCTATACACAACACTATCTGGAGAATTTTCAAAACACAGCTACAGAATACTGTTCACCGGGATCAACATCAGGAGTGACTTGCTTTCACAGCCAGACCCATCCAAACAAGGAGCAGGTAGACTCATTTTGTATCGGGAGGTCAGCAGCCTTCAACTTGGAGTCAAGAAAATTTCACCTTAATTGCAATCTTAGGGATCTCAATGAAGATGAGGTCGCCCGGGGAATCCCGCATTTTACGCGGTTCCCTGTATATTGGTATCATACAGGTCCTCGTGTGATATTCGAAGCATTTATCCATTTTGATGCTGAGTACCACTTTACAACACAGGAAAGACAGACCTATACTATTCTTGTCAAGCGAGAAGGATCAACCAACCCATGGCACTCGTTAGTAGAAATATTTTCGATGACTCTGACCATTGATATCCTTCAGATGACACCAGACGGTACAGGCTCTCGTTTATTCAGCGAAGGCGACTTCGAATACACGCAAGTGATTATCCTGGACAGTCAAGGTGATGGCCCATACTTTGATCTTTGGGGGCTGTTCTCTAAAAAACCTATAAAAAGAATACATGAAATTACCGACTGGAGTACAATCACTCCTACAAATATAATTATCCCTCTTGCAGGATCCAGCAACCCCCTGTGGCAGGGAGACTGGGGTAACGATTCGTGTCAGCAATCTGACTTATTGGAAGTATTTTCTCGTCGAATAGTGGATTTCTATCGGACTCAAATTGGAGCGACAGAAAACACTTTTGACATTCAAGCGGCGCAGGATAGTTCCACCATTCTGCTTACGTATATTGATCGACAGCAAAAGCGGAGATTGATTGATCATGAGGAATATTTGAGGGAGGTTCAGGAGAGATTCCCGTACGTTAAGGTCCAGATTGTAGACTTCTCAAGTATCCCATTCAAAGAGCAGATTCGCATCGCTCAGAGAACCGATATCCTAGTTGGTGTTCATGGAGTGGAATTGTCTCACGCCATTTTTCTGAAACCACAATCTGTCGTGGTTGAAATTCTGCCAAGCTCCTGCAATTTGACTATGTTTCAACATCTTTCCCGACTCCGAGGGCATACATATTATAGTACTCATGGTGCTGAGGTTGAGTTTGATCTGGTAAGACGTGGCTGGGATCTCAAAGACGTTTCAATGTCGAAAGGAAGGTTCCTAAAAACGTTGAAGATGGCCATCGAAGGTCTTTCTGATGCAGTTTAGACGACGCACGTTGTGACGTCTCACTAGTACTGTACAGTGGCTTAGTAGTATTAATAAATACCAATGTTGTTCAGTGTGGACGGCCTCCATCTATTGTCGAGGCCCTGCGTCTAATTAGCTATTAGTAGATATCTCTCTACCTGTTGGGGGGGTTGTAATGGGCATACTACTAAAGAGCAGTATTTTATGATGCTAGAAGACTTGATAACCAATCAAATTGATCATATCAAGTTACGGCATGCATTAGCCACTGCTAGTTTTTACAGCTAAGGAGGTAACACGTGGTCCGAATCACTTTATCAAAACAACAGACATGCTCTGAGGCGATTCTGCTATGTAGTGATTACGTCTTCCCCCGTCTTCTGTAGGATCCTCCTTGCCCGTAAGATTCGGATATTTAGTTTCCTTAGTATATGATTGATTGATTGATTGATTGATTGATTCATACACGCATCTAAGCCTAGTGGCCGGCGGTGCCTTCTAATTGGGCAGCGGGCGTACTACCATACAAAAGCATAAATCAACGTCGACGTGCCAGGACTTCTGGTTTGGCGCTGGCTCAGCCAGCATCACGCGGGAGTCACGACGCGTATCCGTATCCAGATCTGAAGAACCCTGACAAATATACAGAGAAAAGTGAATGACCTAGGTGCGGAGTGGCGTGATATACTTTGGTGCCCGATTCTATTCCAAGCGTTTCAAATGGCTGGTCCGTACAAGCCGAATCAACATGGTTACGCTTTGTAGAGATAGTGTCGCACACACACTATGAGCGCGCGATATTAGGGGATTGTGTGACGGAATTGTGTGACGGAATTGTGTCAATAGACCAGTCCGCATTATGAATTCAACACTCTGCTGGGCCCACTGAGGTTCGCTGAGGAGCTTTCGGTAGTCTGTTTCCCGTGCTTCTTTCCAGAGTGTCTCCGTACGCAGGTTTGTGTAGATTGGGCACCGTACGAGAACATGGGCCGTATCCTGATCTCCAAGGCCACATTGGCATTGAGGGGAATCCTCGATCCGTACGCTCGCTAGGAAGCTGCGTAGCGCTGATTTGCCTGTTTGTAGTTGAATCAGCGCCGAGATCCAAGCCCGTCGTAATCCGATTTTTAGTTGTGGTGAGTATAGTACTATATATCCACTAATAGGTTCCAGAGAAACAAACTGGTTTCCAACAGTTGTTCTCGGGAACGGGAGGCTTAAATTACTGCACATAGCATGCAGCGTCGATTGATCATGAAGTGATACGTATCTGTATTGGACATATTGAGGTAATAAACACAGATGATTCCCCGGATAGAATAACGTCGATGACGTGTTTGGTACGATTTTTCGCTTCTGCTTGAGTTTAATATAGATTTGAAAAGTGGTTATATAGCCTGCAGATTTGCCGGTTCATTTAATTTATTTCGACATCGGCACTATGCGGAGATCTAATAGGGTAGGGAGTAATACAGGATTAGAGAGTCCAGAGAATCCAGAGAGTAAAGATGATAAACCGAAACGGAGAACTTATACCCCCAGAAAAAAAAGTGACCTCCAAGTTCCATGGTGGTTTTTTATTATTAATTTTTTGACCATTTTGCTTGCATCGATGTTATCCTCGTTGGCGGGCCAGTCAGATTTACTACATTCAGGACCATCTACCTGGCGCTCCGAAAACAATAGACCTTGTCCAGCCAGCTCAGATGCTTAGTCGAATCTATTTTTCGGTTGGTGGGAAAAGTTAGCATCAGATCGTTTACTAACAATCGGAGAAACTTTGAAACTGATTATCCTCATCTCCAAAACGATAAATCGATTTATTATCTCTTTTATCGAGGAGTTACGTTCTTTAGCAGGTTTAGTCATATCTTTGAAAATACAATACATGTACAATATCATCATCGGTCAGTTATGGGCGGAATACGGAACTCAAAATCTTCTCCACCCACTGCGGCTGACCCTGGGGATCTGAACAAGATCATGTAATACTCAGTATGGTATCTCAATAAAAGACCATCTACTATAAGGCGTAAAATCTCTCTACTATATGTAGTACGTGGATGACGGTAGCAAATTAGAGGGTATGGTGATGTTCTGGAAAACAATTGATTCTATTTCACCAGCAAATGGATTGCCGTATCATCCAGTGAACATTCATGTCCTACCTGCCCAGACGCAGCAGGCCATTACGGCAACACGGTCACTGGCGAGACCTTCTGCTTCTGCCATGACTACGAAGGTGACTACCATGTGCATATTCATCGGCTACTGCGGGTTCATGTCACACACTGTGAGAAAAGATCATGTAATATTAGCGTACTGGTGCCCTAGGCTTGGTCCCTGCGTGCGCAATAAACCATTCATTCATTCATCCGAAGAGTCTGCCAAGTCACCCCCGAAAATTTCCTAGACCTTGCTTGATGTAATCGTCAAGAGTTCTGACCGTCAGTTTTTCATTAATTCTACATTTAGAGAGGAATCAAAGTCAGAACTGTTCTTAACTTGTTGATTGTAAAGCGATTCTTGGAGTAAATGTCACCAACAAAACCATCTGAAGCTTATTATATGCTCCATGATGTAACCGACGGCTGTTCTAACGTAATCGGACACTTACACATCTCCAACTGTCAGTCTAGCTACCTTTCATCTATGGCAAGATTGGATCAAGGGGCATCTCAGGTACGTTGGTACAAAAGTAGGAATTAGGAAATCCAAAACATAATATAACGTAATCGGTAAGCGAGTTGGTCACTTCTTCCCGAAAACGCGCTCTATATTGATCTTAAACATAAATTTCTAACCCACATACAAATTATATACAAAAAATTAAGTACTAATACGATTAGGACATCCAGTTATTTTATGTCCTGCAACACCACAACCACTGCAGCGAAATTGACGTCGTACAGGTGGATGAGAGACTGGGAGCTCAGGCTCGGCCGGAGCAGTAGTAACGGCCTGAGATACTTCAATCTGACCTTGAACGAGTGCTTGAGCTTCCTCTCTGGTAATTCCCTGCTCATGAGATATTTGCTGCTTAGATCTTCGACGTTTTTGCTTCTCCTTCTCATGTGCAGCCCGTAGATTATGGAGTTCCTTCTGTGCAATTGTAAGCTTATTAATACTCATCTCATAAGCCTTTGATGCCCGTGTAAACACTTCACCAATAGCCTCAGATGAACTTCTTGTATGCCGGCTTATTCTCTTCTTCGTTGTAGTCATTTGGCGCTTAAATTGACGTAGATTTTGAGGGGTTTGCAAGCAGGATGATTGTGTATCACTTGATCGACTTGGAGGGGCGTTGGAGTCTTCAATCGAACAGTAAGCTGTTGATAAACTCGATCTGGATTGAATGGTACTAATCCAGTTGCTATAAAGCTATTCCGAACAGTTTGAGCTTTATATGCCATTGTACGAGCCTTCGGGAATGCAGTGAGGAAGTCGATTTTGTCAATGTGATTGAATCCAAGCCTCGTTCGCTGCTCAACAAGCTGTCCATAATGTCGCTTTAAAACAGCAAAACAGCCAACATCAAGAGGCTGTAAAAGATGTGAAGAATGAGGAGGCATACACACTGGAATAATATTATTCTCAGTGCATGTACGGTCAAATTCAGCTGTTAAATGGCTTCCATGACCATCAAGAATCAACATCCGATATTTCCCCAATGTACGGCCATCGGTAAGAGGAATAAAATGAGTTTTAAGCCATTCTAATCCAATCTTATCTGTTGTCCACCCATTATCGCTAATATTGATTTTCCAGTCGTCTGGAAGATCCTCAAACCAGCCTAATCGAGTATATTTCTTTGCCTTGAAAATAATGTACGAAGGCAATGCCCACCCAATCGAATTAACTGCCTCAATTGCAGTACCCATTCTCGATTACCAGGCTGTAATAGCTTTGGCCGAGCATATCGATCACTTCCAGTAATAACCTTGGCAGTTGCACAAAGACCCATAGCAAAGCCGGTCTCATCAAAATTGTAGATATCTTCTTGTAAAATTCCATGTTCTGATACAACCTCTCGTACGCGATCAAAATATTCTTGGATTATCTTTGGATCTTCGCATTTAGCACGCTCGTAGTTATATTTCCGGGAAAATTTGGATTCGATCTCTGGGCGACGTCGAATAAGATTATATACCCATTTCTCTCCAACCTGTTGATTTCCACGTTGTGAAAGAAGATAATCAGCCATCTCTCGTACAAGAGAGTGTCGAGGAGGCAATCCACGTTTGTCTAGGTCGAGTATCCATTTGACAAGCGATTCCTCTTCAGATTTTGACAATTTATGGCTATTGGCACGTGTTTCAGCTCGATATGCCATGCCATTTAGTCTGTTTTGAAGAGTTGACCGCTAGACATTATAGATCTCTGCTGCTTGTCGTGCAGAACGTAATTTTCCATTTTTTACATCGGAAATAGCTAACAAGATTCGTCCCTCTTGTTCAGCTGAATTTTTTGAATTTTTATTGCGAATTGGTGGCATCTTGACGTGTTGAATTATGAGAATCGATATAGAGCGCGTTTTCGGGAAGAAGTGACCAACTCGCCTACGTGACCAACTCGCTTACGTGACCAACTCGCTTACCGATTACGTTATCTGATTCGATATTTATCTTAACGTAATCGGACACCCACCCGCCACTGACACCCAACCGCCAGTTTCTCCCGGAATACGCACTCTATACAAATTTCAAGCCTGAATTTCTAACCCACATATAAAATATATACAATTTTTTAACTAGTAGTACGATTTGAGCATCGATTGATTTTATGCCCAATAATCCCACATCCACTGCACTTCGGTGGCTCTCGTACGCGTGGTTGAGAAGCCTGAGGTTCGGATTCACCTGATACAGCCGGATTAGATCGAGATGCCTGATCTCGACTTATTATTAGTTTCTGGGCTTCCTGTACTGTAAGGTCTCCTTCGTGAGATATTTGCCTTTTAGACCTTTGACGTTTTCGCTTCTCCTTCTCATTTGCAGCCCGTAAATCATGTACCTCTTTCTGTATAATCACAAACTGTTTCATGCCAACTTCGTATGCTTTAGCTATCCGATCAAGTGGGCTCGTTTTATGAGTATCAATCCGCTTCTTTATTGTTGTTATTTGGCGCTTAAATTGACGTGCATTTTGAGGTGTTTGTAAGCAGGATGATTGCGAATCGCTTGATCGACTAGGTGGGGGTGTTGGGGTGCGAAGTTGAACTGTAAGCTTTTGATAGACATGATCTGGATCAAACGGTACCAATCCAGTTGCTTTGAAGCCATTCTGAATATTTTCAGCCTTATATGCCACTGTACGAGCTTCTGGAAAAGCTGTGAGAAAGTCATATTTATCAATATGATTGAATCCGAGCCGTACACGTTGCTCAACATGCAGCGCATATTGCCGTTTTAAAACAGCAAAACAACCCACATCAAGAGGCTGTAAGAGATGTGAAGAATGAGGTGGCATGCAAACTGGTATAATATTATTTTCAGTGCATATTTGATCAAATTGAGGTGTCAAATGGCTTCCATGGCCATCAAGAATAAGCATCCGATATCTCCCCTTCGTGCGGCTTGTCGTATGAGGAATAAAGTGCTTTTGAAGCCATTGCAACCCAATCTCATCTGTTGTCCAGCCATTTTTACTGATATTAAGTCTCTAATCTTGTGGAAGAATCTCAAACCAGCCTTGTTGATAGAAGGTTGTTGCTTTGAAGATAATATATGAGGGCAAAGCCCATCCTGTTGAATTAACTGCTTCAATTGCTGTGACCCATTCGCGATTACCAGGTTGTAATATCCATATCGATCACTACCTGTAATAACCTTTGCAGAAGCACAGAGACTCATAGCAAACCCAGTCTCATCAAAGTTGTATATATCTTCAGATAAGATCCCATACTCTTGTATAACCTCTTGTACGCGATTAAAATGCTCTTGGATTATCTTAATATCCTCGCATTTTGCTCTCTCGTAGTTATATCTTCGTGAAAACCGTAGTTTCTCCTCTGGATGGCGGTCAACAAATCGATAAACCCATCTCTCACTGACGTGTCTATTTTCGCGTTGAGAAAGAAGAAGATCAGCCATATCTTGTACAAGAGATGGTCGGGGAGGCAATCCACGTTTATCAAGATCAAGAATCCATTTTAGAAGAGATTCCTCTTCATATTGAGTCACAATATGACTATTTGCGCGTTTCTCACCTCTATATTCGATACCGTTGAGTCGATCTCGGAGAGTTGTACGAGGAATTTGATAGATCTCTGAAGCACGTAAAACACTGCGAATTCTGCCATTTTTTAAATCAGAAATAGCAAGTAGAATCTTGCCCTCTTGTTCCACCAATTTTTGTCGATTTTCTGTACGAGTTGGTGGCATATTGACGTGTTGAAATCTAGTAAATAGAATAGAGCGCGTATTCCGGGAGAAACTGGCGGTTGGGTGTCAGTGGCGGGTGGGTGTCCGATTACGTTAATTGCTCAATTTTATATAATACAGGCAGTGTGGGTGCACTAAGGTGCATGTACGTACGTACGAAGCAATGGAGTCAATTTCAATGAGTATTCATTCAGTTCTGTGTCTATCTTTCTAAGTACATCATGTTCCAAAGCCGCGTCTATATAGACCTTCTCCTGAGCTGATTTGTAAGCTATCCCATGGGGTAAACTTGAGACCATTCTCTTACACATGACAGTTTCGGATTGATCGCTTCATTGGAAAGCCAGCTTATCTGACACATCTCGATTGCATGAAGCAACCAACATGCAGATTCGAGGAAAATTCTAGAGACTAGCACGAATCAATTATCACCCTCTGTGCTCTTTTTGTGTGATGGCTAGCCGTAAAAAAAATCCCTTACCTTATTATCAGCACCTTTTTTTCGTTCTTATATAGCATATTAAAGGTGTATATAGGACTTTTTTTCAGTAATATACTGCCTCACTTACTTTGAACAGCCACGAGAAATAACGTTTCCTGAATTACGAAAAATCCAGAGTACCGTAGTTACCGGTCGCTTCGCCTCCCCCACCTGGCGGTTGGGAGTCGGCCCGGGCTCAAGGGCCACCCGGGCTCAAGGGCCACCCGGGCTCAAGGGCCAAAATCTTCAAAATCTCAACCCATCATTTACAAACGTCAAAAAACTGCCAAAATGATCCCTAGCCTATACAAAGCGGAGGAGGCTTTGATTGCAGAGATCCTCAGCGCGTGGCAACACGAAAAAAAAAACTGAATTTTAGCGAATTATCGCGTAAATATGGGGTGTCTCGCAAAAAGCTCTCCCGTCGGTGGAATGGCCTACCCTCTCGCTCAACACGCCCCCCAACCAACCGCGTATTATCTTTAGATCAAGAAAAAGCCATTTTTCTATGGCTTGAGTATCTAGATAATATAGGTGCGTCACCTACAAGCGAGCAAATTGAGGCGAGTGCGAATTATTTGCTTGCTAAAGATTTCACTGGCTCCGGAGAGCCCCCCCGCGTTGGGAAAATGTGGACGTACGACTTTCAAGATCGCTTACCAGAAAAGTACGTACGAATTATATAAAAGCTCAAGAAAAGGAGCGTACTGCTTCGGAGCACTACGGTGAGATTGAGCGCTGGTTTATTAATCTCAAAATCGCTATACAAGACTATAAAATTCGCCCTCAAAATCTATGGAACTTTGACGAGACCGGATTCATTGTCGGACGTGGAAAAGACGAAGCAGTCATTACAGCATACCCAAAAACATCAAAAAGGGTCTCTAGCCTGTCTTCTCGAGAATCAATTACTGTCGTTGAGTGTATAAACGCTAAGGGAAAGATTATACCACCATTATTAATTCCAAAAGGCAAAGTCCACATGGAGGAATGGTATAGCCATATCAAAGATGACGACTGGCTAGTTACACCTACAGAGCATAGATTTATAACGGATGAGATTGCATTCGAATGGCTTCAACATTTTCATCATTTTACAAAGCCGCCAGAATTAGGGCCTCCATGGCGCTTACTTCTCATGGATAATCATACAACTCATCTTACTATGCAGTTTGTTGAATATTGTGAAATCTTTCACATCCGGCCATTCCGATTTCCTGCGCATTCTACGCATTTTTTACAACCTCTTGATGGAGTCCCATTTCAGCAATATAAGCATGTTCATGGGAGGGTCGTGAATAAAGTTGCGCGCCTAGCGGGCTTTGATTTCGATAAAAACGACTTTTTTGAAGAATTGCATGATATTCGGCTCAAAACCTTTACTAATCGTACGATTCGGAATGGCTGGAGAGAACGAGGGAATTGGCCAATTAATCCAAGCCTTATACTCGATAAAATGCCTTCACCAGAAGAAGCTTTTGAGGCTATGGTTGCTGAGGGAGATACGCTAAAAATTCATGGTGAATCAGATGACACTATTCCCAGCTCTCCAACCACAAAATCAATCTCGCCACCGTCAACCGCTGCTGCACTACGTCGCTACATCAATAAGATTGAGAAATCAATTGACGGTATAAAGAATATATTAGACGAAGCAAGCCCAGGCCTCTCACGGCGTATAAAAGTGGTTAATCAAGGCAGCTTTACTTTGGCCGAATTAAGCGATCTACACCGTGAGAGCTTTGCAAAGGTTCGTGCAACCGCAGAGCGCAAGAATAAAAAAACTACAAAACGGCAGGTTAAAACGAGTGGTGCACTTTATGTAAAAGATGCGAATCGCCTCATAAAACGCCGTCATGATGGTGATTTATTGAGGATTCATAAGAGGCACGTCTTCGGCGCGGAGGAGCTAGCGGAAGAGCAGGCCTCAACAGAGCTTCAAGATCTCAGTTTTTTTATTGATACCATGGGAAGTAGGTAAACATTGCTTGTATTTAGTGTATGTCTAGTTTTTATATGATATTTATATAGCGTTGGTGGACTGTCAATCTTTTTACACGATGCTTCATCTTTTTTGGCCCTTAAGCCCGGGTGGCCCTTGAGCCCGGGCCGACTCCCCAACCGCCAGGTGGGGGGGAGGCGAAGCGACGGGTACAGTAGTAGATGGTTATATTCTTAGATTTCGCTTGATCCTTAGTGCACACCACGGGGTACAAATAGATTGCAGTGGAGCAAAATGATAGGTAAATTATTGTCGAACACGATTCTCTATGGCGACAAGAAAAGCACTGACTAGAAAAGGGCCGATAGAGGAAGCCTTAGGGGAAATCATAGGCACTAGCTTCGATAAAGTACTGGGAATTAGATACGATCACTTACGGGAAGAAATAGGTTCCTTACGCAGAGAAATGAGTGACCTACGGAGTTCCGTCACGCAGGCAGAAATGTTACAACAAATTGTACCTAATATGCGTAGGAAGAATCCTCCTCCAGTTTTGAGTAATAGGGATTTAGCTCAAAATCTTGGTATGACACTTAAAAAGAAGAGTCTTTGGAACTACTACAACCTATCATACGTTATAATGCTTTTTACTATTATTTTCGCAGTACAGAGAGTTTTGAGACCGCCCCCTTTTGATCCCCTCTTTGATTGATTAAGTCAGCGTCGGTTGAAGCCTCGTCAGAGGGGTCTGTTAGCAGCTTAGTTGAAGATTTAAAATGATATGCAGATTGCACAATTAGCTTAACATACGTTCTCTTGCAAGATCTGTTCCCCTCTTGTATACTTTCGAATTGAATTTTTTAGGATATTATCGGTGAAGTAAGTGCACAGCGCAGCGAGGTCCCTGGCGTAGCAATCAGGAAGAAACACGTATTAAAGCGAGGGGTTTTGATTCTTCCTTATACAGGATAATTCCCTATTAGAAACATACAGTCTGGTCAAGGAAGCAGAGAGAGAAATTCAAGGCTTCAGTTGAGAAATCCCAGAATCATCTTGTTTATCAATTTCACGGGATTAAGGGTAAAATGGTAAATATGACAATTCCCAAGGTCTATGTTGGTTTAACTACGGTCCGTATCAGGAAGCATAGACAGTAGTAAGGCGCGAACACGAAGCAGCCTAACGAGCCTGACAATGCCTGAATGAAATGAAGGGTAAAAATATCTGCCAGGTGTCGGATTAGTCGGTTTATTCCAGGCCAATCCTGAAGAGTGTTTTACTAGGATCAAAGAAAAGAAGTGACTAGCAAGATTGTATGTATTGTGTTCTCTCTCTGTGTATACATCAGGTTCAATGCCGGGTATTTTATAGACACTCTTGCGGGGTCATTTGTGAGCTATCATGGGGGTCTGCCTTGTTTGATGTACGTTTGATGTATGTTTGATGTCCGGATTATCTAACAACGTTCACCCATTAGTTAGCTCTAGACAGAGGAAGTTATCAATTTGAAGTCATTTACACATATTGATTGAACTCACCCTATAGGCTTGTTGGACCAGCCTTACAAGTTACACCAATCTCCGCTTGTTCGGGGACCGTGTAGAACCAACAGGTGGGATGCGGCTGTGCCACCTACCCGGGTGCGCCGTTTACCAGTGAACACGTTATATGACATATAGTAGATTACATTCTTAAAATATACATTACATAGTATTAATAGTTCGAATGTTTCAGTCATTACAGATCGCTTCGCATATTTGGCATATTCATGTTTGTGGTTATTAAGCGTGAACGAGTAACTTATCTTGTTCCAAATCAACTGAGTCCTCAACAGTGTGAAAAACGACAACGAGGTTCTAAGTGTGGTAGCCAATTCCATTTACCTAGACTCATCAAACGCTTAGCGATAAACATGATGGGTTCTTCTACGGACCCCTATGTCTAATTAGAATTAAGTGTTTTGCGTTGTCTTTTCAGTCTTTAAACCAAGTATCAGAATATTATACATGTACATAAAATACGCTATTCTATTCTCTTGAAATACTATTTTTGAGTTTGTAACTGTCGGTTTATCTACGTCTAGGTCGCTAGCACTAGTCACGTAGAACAGCTATTCCGACGAGCTGACGAGCCTGATCAATATGGTATAGAATTCCTGATATTGATGACTGCCCCCCAAAAGCAAGGGGGACGGGGAATAGCTAGCTACATGTAAGTGTCGGTTTAACTACGGTCCGTATCACGAAGCATAGACGGTAGTAAGGCGCGAACACGAAGCGGCCTAATGAGCCTGACAATATGAAGATATCTTGATTCCTAATATTGTGACTTGTCCCCAAGAACGAGGGGGACGGGGATAGCTAGCTAGATATACGCGGCACGCACGTGCCGCGTCAGACTAACTATATCCGGTGCCAAAACGTGTAGGGTTTGATATTCACGTTCCGACAGTAAGGATTGGGTTGTAAGAGCGTAGTGATTGAACGATGCATAAGGATATAGACTTGCTAGCAAACTTGTATGTAAACGTGTGTGTGTATTTATAAAGCAGCTATTCGCTGCTTCTCTAAGATATGCCTAAGGACGCGTCTGTATACAGAAGTGCGCGTCCTCGCGCTAAAGGGTGCTTACATCATCGCTACCCGAGATCACGTGTCTCACGTGATCATCCCGTTGTTGTTAATGTGTTGGTTGTTGTTATTGGTTATCTAAGCTAACTACAGCTGCGCTGACCCCTTTACGGAGGTCACATGACTCTCGGAGCATAGTTGATCCGCGCCGGAGGGAGATCCACGGGTGTAGCACGCTGACACTCCCACTCATCCGGGATCTCACCAAAGGCGTCAGATCGGCTAGGTTCCTCCCACTAGATCACGGGTGATTTTAATGGGGAAAGGAGAGAGAGTGAGAAAAGAAGAGAAGGAAAAAAAAAGAGTATATACAGGCAGTCCTGGGGGAAAACCTCCATGCAAAACCCTGTGGGATGAAAAATCATGGAGGAAACCAGGCCAGTTCAGGTACATGTCATATCGATTCCATTCCCATTCCTTTTACATGACGTTCATGCAATTCCTTCGGTAGTGCTTTCGTCAATATATCGGCCGTCATTTCTGTTGTACGAATATACTCCAGACGAATAAGGCCATTTGCGATAGCCTCGCGTATAACGTGGAAACGGATATCGATATGTTTTGACCTAGTAGAGGGCGAATGACTAGGTTGATTCGCAGTTGCAATGGCGCCTTGGTTATCACAATGAATTGTGTTGGAAGGCATCGTATGTTCTGCATACTGAGGCAGGATAGCGAGAATGAGTTTCCGAAGCCAGATAACCTCATATGATGCAGTTGCCAGTCCAACATACTCAGCATCATGAGTTGAGCTGGTAACTAAAGATTGCTGTTTTGATTTCCATGATATTGGGCCGCCATTCAAAAGGAATATGAAACCGGAAGTTGAACGTCGGTTATTCAAATCAGCGGCAAAGTCAGAGTCGCTGTAGCCATATAAGACTGAGTCATTGGAGTATGATTTGCAGTAGGCGATGCCCAGGTTCTGGGTGCCAGCCAGATACCTGAGTACACGCTTGAGCGCTGCGGCATGCTTTATACCTGGTTTCTGCACAAATTTGGAGAGGCGAGAAAGTGCAAATGCAAGATCAGGTCTCGTACAAATCATGAGATAGATTAGCGCTCCCACTGCAGCACGGTATTCTAAAGCATCTGTTTCGTTTAGACTTTCTGCATCAGTTGCCTCAACAAGTGGGTGCTTGGGATCAAGTGGAGTTGCAACAGGATTCGTGGGTGCGTTGAAGCGCTCGAGAATTCGCTGTATATATGCCTTCTGATGCAATATCACTTTGCCATTCCGATGTTCAATATGGATGCCTAAGAAGCGCCTAGGTGTTCCTATATCTCGAGTTTTAAATTCATTGCAGCATTCTTTGACGAATTCTTCAATTGCGTCCTGGTCACCAGTTAGCAGGATGTCATCGACAAATAGGAGGAGTATGAGGAATTTGTTATCCAGGCTGCGAATGAATATAGCTGGCTCAGCATCGCACTGATAGAAGCCTGCTTTCAATAGGAATGAGGTCATCCTATCCCACCAGATGCGCGGAGCTTGTTTAAGTCCATACAGAGACCGGCGCAGTTTCAAAACATATTTCTTTGGATCTAAATCCATGCCTTCTGGTATCCCCATATAGACTTCAGAGTCTATATCGCCATTTAGAAAAGCGGTAATAATATCAAGATTGCGTAAGGACCAGCCATTGTGCACAGCTATTGCCACCAGGAGTCGGAATGCAGCTAATGAGGCAGTTGGGGCATAAGTTTCCATGAAGTCTACTCCAAAGCGTTGGAGGAATCCCTTAATCACCAATCGTGCCTTATAGCGAATGCCTTCATCAGGACTCGGTTTACGCTTGAATACCCACTTGCCGGGGATCGGCTTACACCCTTTTGGCATCTGACTGATCTCTTGAACTATCCAAGTTCCATTCTCTTCATGAGATTTCAGTTCTTCTTGCACTGCTGGTGGCCACCTAATCGGATCCTGGAGCAAGGCATCCGAATAGGAGAGAGGATCTCCATTGTGGTCTGTTTGGATCCTCTCTGCTGTTTGCCAGGGTGGGCAGGAGAGCGACTCCATGCCTTGCACGATCAAAGCGGCTTCCACAAGCTCCCTAGTAGTATCGTGCTCATGGATTTTGACGCAGGTGCCAAATACAACGCTTCCTCGTGGGTTGTAGATGGGCTGGCTGTCCATTCGGAGTGCCAGGGACTGGGGGGAGTCCAATGCCCTTTGGGCTACATCTGCTAGTTCCATAGGATCTACTGGCTTTGCAGGATCTTCCGGGTTCACAGGATCTGCAGGTGGTTGGGATTGCTGCAGCCAGAAGGGGTTCATCGAGGAAAATGGTACGCTTGATACATTGGGAAGCGCTCCCGGTACTGACTGACCAAGTACAGTATCGACCGCTGAACCAGGCGGATTTCTTTTATGTGCAATAGACGGTTTAAAACCGGCAGGGCGTTTGAGCCATGGACCAGGGAAAAGGTCTTCATCAAACTTGATTTCAGAGTGATTGCTTGTTTGCAGAGTATGAAGATCAAGACATTTATAAATAGACTTTGAGTCTTGTATATAGCCTACCATCATGGCTGGCCTGCAGCGAGGATCAGAGCTCGAGCTGCGGTGCTCCTTTCGAAGGTGTATCCAGACGAGGCATCCCCAGGGCTTCAAGGTAGTAAGAGGTGGTTGCTTCTTATATAAAAGAAGGTGTGGGGATATATTGCCTAGAGTAGTGGATGGCAGGATGTTAGTTAGAAATACCGAGGTGGCCAGGGACTCAGCTTGTAGTCGGTAGTCATCTAGGACACCAGCACCAGCTCTCATAGAGCGTTCCATATTCTTGATTGTCTGAACTCGTCGTTCCAGTACACCATTCTGTTGCTTGACACCAGATGTAGAGATTTGGTGAAGTATTCCGTATTGGCGATTTATTTCTTTGACCATGCTATTTATGAATTCACCAGTACCGCCATCAGTTCGCCATGACTTGATTACAGCATTGAATTGAGTTAGGACCAAGTTTATGAATCCTTGTAGGAGAGGCGTAATTGCAGGAACATTCTTGCTTGAGGCAAAGTAACACCATGCGTAGCGAGTGTAATCATCAACCAGTAGTAACATATACTTAGATCCACCAAGGGAGATACTGTCCAAGGGGATAAGGTCGGCATGCACGCGGTCGAATGACTTGCTGCAACGTTCAAGCACAGGAGGGTGCGAATCTGCCTTCATTTTACCTTGTAGGCACGCTGTGCATGTAGGTGGTTGACGCGGCACAGATAAGTTCATGAGATCTCCCACTGATCGAAAATTTCGGTGGCCTAGGCGATTATGCCATAGCCTGAGTGTACTGAATTCTCTTGTACGGAGAGCTCGTGGGGCATTCACTAGAAATGCAGGACTTATATGCATTCGATAAAGATCTCCATGCTTCGAATTGGCTAGTTGAAACCATGCGGAATTTGAGTCGCCTTGCTGCCGTATGTAGACAATGCCATTTTCAATAAGAGTAGAGTAGCCAGCTCGATCAAGGAGCTGCAAGGACAGCAGTTCTCTGTCAATTTTGGTACGAACCAGACGTTGAGGACTAGAATATAAGCCCAACTTGAGATGTTGAGTACCAGATCCCTCTGCATAGATCGTAGTATATCTCCAGTAGATCTCTCTGGTTCAGAAATGTTTGTAGTCCTTAAGTCAATTGCTATTGCAGAAATGCTGTG